CTTCCCACCCAAACCAGTCTGGGATTGAGCCTGTCCTTGGGGGCTGTCAGGCAGGCAAGGAGGGAAACCAAACCCTGAGCCAGACGGCTGACAGAGCAGGGTGAGCTCTGGCTCCGTGTGTCAGCAGCTTCACCAGGATGCTGCTGTGTTTCAGGCCAAGGGAACACGCTTTGCACAGAGACTGGATGTCACTTGCTGCCTGACACTAGTGTTAGAGAGAAAATCCTGTTGTGGCAAAGACACAGAAGCTGGAATTGCTTGGTTACGATGGTGCCTTTAATGAAGTGGGCCCATCTTTAAAAGGTATTTTTTCTTAACCCCACAGCAGTTCCTCGGTCAGGGAGGTGTTGGCAACCTGTGGCAGCTTCTGATAGACTGAGTCCCAGAAGTTCACAAACTGAGATCTCAGATTCTGCTTCACAGAGTTCTTGTTTATCTTGTTGTTGATTTCCAGGTAGTAACTTCCATCATTGCTATAGGGCGGCCAGTTAACGGGCACCTTTGAATTTCCTTTGTTGGGATCACTGGGAAAAAAGGAGATGTAGAAGTTCAGTTTTATCAGAGTAGCTTGTGGCTGCAGCAAGGTTTGTGGTGTTTGGCAGGGACCCCGTCTGCTCAAGTGAGGCTTTAAGTAAGTGCAAACAGAGGGTTTGACATTGGGACAAGCGATAGTAACTCTGCCTGGCAGGAGGAACTTGCTGACTGGATTCTCCTCCCTCAGTCCAAATTAGCATCATCCTTGGCTGCACACAGGGGCTTAACTCCTGTCTGAACATCAGGATTCAGAGACAAACCTCATTGTTAAGTTTTAGCAGAGTTCACAAGTTCTGAAAATGCTTCTGCTGTCCCCAGATGTCCTCTGGATGAGGAGGACCCAGAGTGAACTCCACCACTGGGAGACACAGAGCCAGACTCACAACAGAAGCAGACAGAGGACACCCCACATTTGGGAATTGCTCCTGAGAAGTTAATAGGTAAAAGCAGCAGGTTGGAGAGCTGCAGCAAGCCCCAGATGTGAACTGGAATCACTCACCCTGTCCTGGCAAAGTTGGTCCAATAAGCAATCATGGCTTTTGAGACAGTCCTGTCCTTGGGCCGGTAGCCCAGGGGGGTGGTGAAGGGCTTCCCAAACACATACTGCAGGTCATCAGCATGGTCTGCCCCTACCCAGCTTGGGTAGATGGGCATTCGGGAGGGCTGGGAGAACAAGTAGCTGTATGTCTTGGCATTCCTGGGGAAATAAAATAAACTTGCTAAGCAGCTGTGGGTGGAGAGCAGAGAAAGGGGTGCAGATTCATAACCATGCTCCAAATACTGGCAGAGCCAGAGATTCAGCCTTGGAAGATGCTCCCGTGCATCCAAGATATGGTCTCAGGAGAAAACATCCTTCTATATGGTAATTTATAACTTCCATTTCTGATTCTCACCCTAAACCTCCTATCATCCAGCTGCCATGTCTTGTGACAGCAGACGTTGCTAAGATGAAGTCTGAAGTGTTTTGGAAGCAGAAAGCTTTAATGGGAATTTATAATTTATGTAAGCATGCATTCAGCACCAAAAAACCTGGCTCCTTCAGCCCTCGAACCCACTCCTCAGCCCCTTGTGCTGGAAACAGAGTGTTTTGGCCCCTGGGTGGGCTTTGGGCTCCTGCCAGGGCCAAGCTACTCACTGGGCATTTTTGAGGTGCAGATTCAGGGCCCACTGTGTGGGAACCAGGAAGATGTAGTCAGTAATCAGGTCCACCACTGTCTTCTTCATGACCTCCTGGGATGGTTTCTCCTCCCACGCTTCTGTGTAGATATTGTAGGTCAGGTTGGCTCCACGCTCACCTCTGTCCACAGTAAGTCCTTTGATCAAATTATAGATGTCCTGCCTGAAAAGACAATTAGTATCAACTAATTACAAACTGACAGCTTCAAGTGGGGCAGGGCCCACAGAAAGAGATCCCAGCTCCTGTTGATGCTCACATCCAACCCTGTGGTTCACAACAGTCTGGTGGAGTGAAAGCCAGTGATTTCATTCCAGGTCTTAGACAGTGGGTTTGTGTTTCCCAGCTTTCTCAGCAGAACAACTTGGGGCCAGATTTTGTCTGCAAAGAGGAGTCTTACAGGGCAGGCACCCAACATGTCTGGCATGTACCTGCTCTGGACAGAGAGCCACAGGGCTGCCAAGCTTATAGCTGGTGCTGAGTTCAGGAGCACCTTGAAGTTACATGAGGAAGCTTCCCCACTAGCTGGTCCTTTCTCTCAAAGGTTCTGGACTTGCTTGCATATATCCCAGGCACCCTGATGTGGAGCAACATCCTGTTAGGAAGGTAGTGCTCTCTCCACTCAGGTCTAAGTTCTTGGAGTTTGGGGGCTACATTGAAGATAAAGTTCCTCCTGTTAAAGGTTTTAAGGGCATGCATCACTTACGCATTGACTTTCACAAGTGGGCGGTTGATAGAAGGTAAATCAATGCCAGCAAAGAAGTGTCCATCCATGTTATTGACCCCAGCAAGATAGTCAATGTCAGCAGCGTTGGCAAAGAGCTTCTCTGGTACGTCTGGGAGGAAGTCTCCATCGATGACAGGAGTGAGGGCAAGTGTGTGAACCAGGGGAACTGCAGCAAGACACAAAAACTGAGCAGGTTAGGAGCTGAGAAAAGACAGATCTGTGTCCTGGCATATCCCATGGCTCAAGGAACTGTGGAAGGAACAGGCTGAGATGAATGGGAGCTTGGGTGGTGGCTTCTGTGTGCCCACAGGCTCATGTGCAGTAAAACTCGTGTGTGTAGGTGGGGTGGTGGAACAAGAGATCAGCCAGTCAAGCACCAGCAGACAGCATCAACAGTTCCTCCTCTCCTTCCCCAAAAAGCCCAGACAAAGGTAGGCAAAAGCAGAACTTTTCCTCCCCACCCCATCTAGTTGCCCTCGCTTCTTGCCAGTGCAGCTGCACAGTGGTGG